GTGTGTGAGAGTGTGTGTGTGTGTGTGAGTGTGTGTGTGTGTGTGTGTGTGTGTGTGTGTGTGTGTGTGTGTGTGTGTGTGTGTGTGTGTGTGTGTGTGTGTGTGTGTGCATGTGCGTTCATGCATACCCTTATATGTGGTATAGGTGTATAGGTGCAGATGTGTATTAAGCCATACCTTCCTGAAAACCAACTGTCTATAAGACCTACTTTAAATATCTTCCATGTAAAAAAAAGATGAGAAAAGAAAAGAAAAGAAGAAGAAAAAGGCTACGTACAACCAGCAGTTACACTATTGAGTTCCAAACAAACATAGTAAAATATAGTGTGTACATAAACATTGCCTGAATGATTTTATACTTAATTCCATATAACACAATTTCTCTGGTCACACACTTTACTTATTCTTTTCTTTTCTTTCTTTCTATTATGTGCATGTCAACAAAACCTGCTTTTCTTCTTTCCCTTGAGTGGTCTTTCTGTACACTTTTATTCTTAACTATGTATTTGTATTTGTATTTGTATTTGTATTTGTATTTGTATTTGTATTTGTATTTGTATTTGTATTTGTATTTGTATTTGTATTTGTATTTGTATTTGTATTTGTATTTGTATTTGTATTTGTATTTGTATTTGTATTTGTATTTGTATTTGTATTTGTATTTGTATTTGTATTTGTATTTGTATTTGTATTTGTATTTGTATTTGTATTTGTATTTGTATTTGTATTTGTATTTGTATTTGTATTTGTATTTGTATTTGTATTTGTATTTGTATTTGTATTTGTATTTGTATTTGTATTTGTATTTGTATTTGTATTTGTATTTGTATTTGTATTTGTATTTGTATTTGTATTTGTATTTGTATTTGTATTTGTATTTGTATTTGTATTTGTATTTGTATTTGTATTTGTATTTGTATTTGTATTTGTATTTGTATTTGTATTTGTATTTGTATTTGTATTTGTATTTGTATTTGTATTTGTATTTGTATTTGTATTTGTATTTGTATTTGTATTTGTATTTGTATTTGTATTTGTATTTGTATTTGTATTTGTATTTGTATTTGTATTTGTATTTGTATTTGTATTTGTATTTGTATTTGTATTTGTATTTGTATTTGTATTTGTATTTGTATTTGTATTTGTATTTGTATTTGTATTTGTATTTGTATTTGTATTTGTATTTGTATTTGTATTTGTATTTGTATTTGTATTTGTATTTGTATTTGTATTTGTATTTGTATTTGTATTTGTATTTGTATTTGTATTTGTATTTGTATTTGTATTTGTATTTGTATTTGTATTTGTATTTGTATTTGTATTTGTATTTGTATTTGTATTTGTATTTGTATTTGTATTTGTATTTGTATTTGTATTTGTATTTGTATTTGTATTTGTATTTGTATTTGTATTTGTATTTGTATTTGTATTTGTATTTGTATTTGTATTTGTATTTGTATTTGTATTTGTATTTGTATTTGTATTTGTATTTGTATTTGTATTTGTATTTGTATTTGTATTTGTATTTGTATTTGTATTTGTATTTGTATTTGTATTTGTATTTGTATTTGTATTTGTATTTGTATTTGTATTTGTATTTGTATTTGTATTTGTATTTGTATTTGTATTTGTATTTGTATTTGTATTTGTATTTGTATTTGTATTTGTATTTGTATTTGTATTTGTATTTGTATTTGTATTTGTATTTGTATTTGTATTTGTATTTGTATTTGTATTTGTATTTGTATTTGTATTTGTATTTGTATTTGTATTTGTATTTGTATTTGTATTTGTATTTGTATTTGTATTTGTATTTGTATTTGTATTTGTATTTGTATTTGTATTTGTATTTGTATTTGTATTTGTATTTGTATTTGTATTTGTATTTGTATTTGTATTTGTATTTGTATTTGTATTTGTATTTGTATTTGTATTTGTATTTGTATTTGTATTTGTATTTGTATTTGTATTTGTATTTGTATTTGTATTTGTATTTGTATTTGTATTTGTATTTGTATTTGTATTTGTATTTGTATTTGTATTTGTATTTGTATTTGTATTTGTATTTGTATTTGCATTTGTATTATTATCATCATCATTATTATTATTATTGTTATTATTATTATTGTTGTCATTGTTACTATTATTGTCATCATCATTATCATTATTATCATCACATTTATTATTGTCATCATTATTATTATCATCATCATCATTATTATTATTACTATCATTATTATTATTATTATTATTATTATTATTATTATTACTATTACTATTACTATTATTATTGCATATTTTACTAATATATATATCCTTTGAATTTACTAATATAAATATATTTGTGTGTGTGTGGGTGAGAGTGTACATACATGTATATATATACTGTATTAATTACACCAATCAAACTTGTAAATTCAACCAAAGCTCTCCTTCTTGAGCAACCCAATAACAGCATTTTAATTGAAATTCCAGTACGATGCGATACGCAGAATGGTCGATGAGAACTACGTAGTCACTTTCCTGGAGGTGAAGAATGCAGGTGTTCTTCAAGGACGAGTGTACATCAAGCTCTTTGATGATGCTGGTCGGACACGCCAGTTCATGTACTTCTGCTCGGGGGAGAGAGGGCCATCGTACGCCAACACCCACTTCCTGGAGGTTCTACACAAGGGTCAGCCCGGGGAACAGGTCTGGGGCGGAGACTACGAGAACGACGACGGCAGCGGAGGAGCGGCTTTACCGGGGATGGAACGCGGTGAGGAGAACTTCCACAGTATCGTCCCTGGGCTCGTGGTGGGCTACTATTTTCCGGGCTACGGCTACGACCACAACCCCTCGCAGTTCGGAATATACGTGGCCGAGTGGTGCTACACCTCCGATATGTCCTCCATTGGGATGGTGATAGACGGTTTGGACATCATCTCCGCGGTGGCTAAGCTTCCAGACGTTAGAGAGAGCTGTGTTTCAGATTGTGGGTTTCTGCTCTTTCACTAAGTACAAGAACGATAACAAAAAAAACAAAAAAGAAAAAGAAAAAAGATTGTTTTGAGGAAGATTTGGTGGACTGATATTTGGTAAATAAAGTCTGAAAATGGCTACGAAAAGATAGGGCAAATTTCAGGCTAAGATTGGGTCTTTTCGTCACAAAAACAACCAAGTGTGTGTTTTGTTTTTTCTTTCTTTACTCTATGTTACCAATTTTATTTTAATTTTACCTATCTACTAAAAAGTAGATAAACAACAAAGGAGAAAAGATGGATCAGATTTGAGATTATCACAACATGCTTTTTTTTAATGTACTTTTGAGTGTACAAAGGTTATTTGTATGTGTAATAGTACAGAATGTGTTACATGTGCTGTTGACCCATTCAGTGTTTTTGGCAGTTATTCGATAGTTGATTGTTAACCCCCCCCCCCACTGTCTCATCATTCATACCCCCTCATGAATTCATAGTCTTTTGGTCAACTGTTTACTCACACCATACTCATTAACATTGTGCATTCTCATTACTATAATTATTTTTTTAATTCTGCATAAATCATATAAAATGTCATATTTAAAAGGTGGTCTAAAATATGCTGTGAGATTGTACAATGTCTTTCTAGCAATTACTTGAATCTCACCAAGGTTTGAATAGGTGTGATTTAGGTGCATCATAAGTATGTATAGATAATTCATATATATATATATATATATATATATATATATATATATATATATATATATATATATATATATATATATATATATATATATATATATATATCCCCCCCATGAATAAGAGATAGAACAGAACAGCATAGAAAACCTCTGGCAGAAATGAACTGTATAAACTGTTCAGTGTCCTTACAAAATTGGAGGAATGGCACTTTGTAAACACTTTCATACCTCTTAATCTCAGAAAAGAAAAAGCTAGCAACTCAACCTTAGACTCTGGGGTACTTTGATCTGCCAAGTCTCTTGAGAAAAAAAAATGAGAAAGTGGTGTAAAGGAATGTGATGGTATTATATGCAAGTTTTTAAAAATTAGCAAAGATATATAAACATTAAGTGTTACCTGATTAGAATTTAACTGAGAGACTCGGGGAGTAGTCCTGAGTCAAGGGTGAGTTGCCGTTTACCTTGAGATTGGACGCAATGTAGATGACTTAATTCTTCCAAGAGTGACGCATTCATCATTGGAGATACCAGTTTTTCAAGAGAGTGATGACAATAAATAAAAATAGAAAAAATGCAAAGAGAAACGAAGAAAACCACTTTCTGCAAGTATTAAATGCATGTCTGTTGTGTCGGTCTATGCAAAGATATCTTTCTTCTACTGCAATAATATCATTCTTAATCATGCATGTCTACAGTCAATTCTGAATTTCATCTTCTCTGGGCCCACACCTTTTGTGTGTAAAGCTACAACTTCAGCTGCTAAGCATCACTAATGATCAGATACCATTAGTGATGAAAGGGGTGGTTAGCACATTGGAAAAATTATATAATGTGTATATAGTTTTACCAACAACCATGGAAATACATTAAGAGCTATTTGTAAAACAAGTGTGACTGGCATAAAAAAAAAAGTTTAAATCCTTTTACTTCATTCTATACTGAAATAAACAAGACTATTCCACACTGATAACAAAAATTACTGACCTTGCTTAACAATTCTATAATAGGTGCAAAGAGTGGTCTACAGGAGGCTTGAAACTGAATCCAAACAGGGCATCCACAATCAAGTGATATTTGCTGTAAAGAAGTACTTGATATTAGGATATATCATGGTATAATAATCACCAACACTAAGTCTCTCTTCTATAATTAATTTAACCAATTGCGTGTAAAGCTACAACTTCAGCTGCTAAGCATCACTAATGATCAGATTCCATTAGTGATGAAAGGGGTGGTTAGCACATTGGAAAATTTATATAATGTGTATATAGTTTACCAACAACCATGGAAATACAGTAAGAGCTATTTGTAAAACAAGTGTGACTGGCATAAAAAAAAAGTTTAAATCCTTTTACTTCATTCTATACTGAAATAAACAAGACTATTCCACACTGATAACAAAAAATTACTGACCTTGCTTAACAATTCTATAATGGGTGCAAAGAGTGGTCTTACAGGAGGCTTGAAACTGAATCCAAACAGGGCATCCACAATCAAGTGATATTTGCTGTAAAGAAGTACTTGATATTAGGATATATCATGGTATAATAATCACCAACACTAAGTCTCTCTTCTATAATTAATTTAACGAATTGAGTGTAAAGCTACAACTTCAGCTGCTAAGCATCACTAATGATCAGATACCATTAGTGATGAAAGGGTGGTTGCCGTTTTACCTTGAGATTGGACCAGGTAGATGACTTATTCTTCCAAAGTGACTATTCCGCTTGGAGATACCAGTTTTCAAGAGAGTGATGACAATAAATAAAAATAGAAAAAATGCAAAGAGAAACGAAGAAAACCACTTTCTGCAAGTATTAAATGCATGTCTGTTGTGTCGGTCTATGCAAAGATATCTTTCTTCTACTGCAATAATATCATTCTTAATCATGCATGTCTACAGTCAATTCTGAATTTCATCTTCTCTGGGCCCACACCTTTTGTGTGTATACTGACATCATTCTATAATCCTGTTCCCTAATCTAATAGAAAATAGACAAAATTTCCACGTAGAAATCACTGTGAACTAGAAAACACATGTTACTGTTGTCGCTGGGAAATGCTTGTCTGTCTTCAAAGTTTTTAAAAGCTGAAAATTCATCTCCATTCTATATACAGATATATATATATTCATGCATGACTTCACATGTAAGGGGAAAATTTCTGTTTTTTCCACCTCTCACTGACGCTTATTATTATTAAAAATTTTCTATGTTGTGACCTTTCTTTACCATGAATTTGTGTATAAAAAAAAAAAAAAAAAAAAGGGGTTTATGGAGCACCTCTTTTTTTTCCTCGTTCAAGCAAGTTTGTATTTGTGGGGGAGCATGCAAGGGTACAGAGAAACGGGGGGGGGGGGGGGTATGCTTTTTCCATGCTCAAGATCCTATTCCTGGCTGCTGGTTGTTTAACAGAATATTGAATATAACGAAGAAGAAGAATAAAGAAAGAATGAAAGCAAAAAAGAAGAAAAAAAACACACAAATAACATGTTACTGCTATTATTACTTAGGTATGGAATACCTAGAGAGATGATATGGAGTCTGTACAAGGCAAAGCCTATTACCATCTGGATAGAGCAAATTTAATGACAAAGATAGACATTGGATCAGGTGAGCCCATTAACTGTTTTGCTCCGGAATGGTTTAAAAGACTCCGCGTTGCTCATGTACAGGGCACTCACTCGCAAGCAGTAACTTTGAATCTGGCATCCTGAAAGTCTCTTATCTAATACAGTTTCTTCCTCTCTCACTCATTCACACACACACACAATTGGCTCTTCAGTGACTGAGCACTTGTGGGACCATCTATGTGCAAAAAAAAACAAAAAAACAACAACTACTACTACTACTACTACTACAGTTATAGTACATGTACCCAGCAGCAATGAATTATCTAATGCTTTACTTTGAACACAGATATTCCATCGGTATGAAAGTAGACATCTGACAATGCCATGATATAAATCCATCAACCAATAAACCAGTAAAAGAATGGACCCAAAAATACATACCTGCTTAGGCTCTCCATACTCGGCATTTCTTTAATGAAAGCTACGTCATACATCTCGCACTGCTTGACGAGGTTGTTAAACAGCGGTTTGTCAGTTGGCTTCGGGTACAGGATTTCAGGAGTGAAGCCCAGCAGTCTTAGATGTCTCGCGCACACGAGCCCATCGCCCCCATTATTTCCAGGTCCTGCACACACCAGCACTCCTTTACCGGGGTCTGGCTTATACTTCTGTGATTCCCAAACACAGAATATGTTGAGGCAGAGGAGATTAGGGAACCAACTAAGATTTGATAATTAAAGCAAGGAAGAATATTTGATGAAGCTGAGTCAAAATGTTGTTTACCAATGTGTGTTCCTTAGCCTTTGCTGAAGAATTTTATATCAATCCTACTCTCTATATCCTTGTAGCAAGAAAGGGTGTAGGGTATATAGATATACATTTACACGCACACATGCATTATAGATCAATAATGTAAATATTAACCACTAGCCATTATCATGATTACAGACCATTCCATTCCATTCCACAGAAAACAAGTATATCACAATTGCATATTTGTCCTCACATCTAATATCTACTTAACAGTAAACCACTCAACTGAAAACTCACTTCTGCAATTGCATGAGCACAGCTAAGACCTGCCAGTTCCATCAGCTGATTGACACTGAACTGATATTCATTAAACAATTCCAGATCCACATTAATGGCTTCTTCTTGGTTCAAATGACGTACAGATGACATGTTTCTGATGCTTGTTTTTAGAATGTCGTTCCTCAAGCACTTCTCTTTAGCTGTTTTGATTATACGGTATTTATTAGCCTTCCTAGCAAAAAACAATAAAAATGTACATATATTTTTCCCACTCAAAGAAATACTGAGCTTCTGTAAAAATGTTTTGGAAAATTCTTCTCAAAGTATGATCAATCTACATTCCTATATATCTCTGCAATTTATATAACAGTTATAGTCCTTTTACTGACCATTCAACAGAGGATACTGCTGCTGACACTTGCTAGCTAAAATCTGTAGGCTGAGGATGCTTAGAGCAAGGCCTCGTGTCCCTGTCCTAGGGCGTAAGACTGAGAGAGCTGCAGGACCAGAACGAGCCGTTAACCTCAGCACTGTTGGGAAGGAAGATATCGTAAAACAACAGGCGCTTTACACTATAAGTTTCTCTTTCAGTAAAACAATATCTTGAACTGAGAGAAAGTTATATCTATGTTTGCCCTAGCTTGGGTGGAGTTTAAATCTGTTAGTTAATTAGAATGAAATTACAGAATGAATACTGCATTACAAGTGCAACAAAAATATTACATTCTTCTAAAACATTACCAATTGACCTAATAAAATTGAACTTTAAGGCTATTATTCAACAGGAATGAAATTACAGCACCCATTGTGCATTGCATTCATGAATAACACTACTGACATTTTTAGAAGTTTAGAAGTGTATTGCACATTTGATAATTCCTCTTAAAAGAACATCCAAAATAGACTAGATCAATGCTTCTTAGTTTGTTTTTTTATGTAGTAACTCAAAATCATATCACAGCTAATTGAGGGAACCAATATTCTAACATTACCATAATTAATTGATCTTTATGAAACTTAATAATTCTTAAAATTTAGAATATTGAAAAAAAAAAAAAAAAAAAAAAAAAAAAAAAAAAAAAAAAAAATCTTACAAAGCAAGAGTCAAACATCCTGGCAGCACAACCACTAAACCAATGTCACCTTGTGCTTTGTGCTTAGTCACAAAGGAGTCAATTAGTAGACCTTGTGACCTTACCTGATTTCACCTTTCCTTGAATTTGTGGGGAAAATGTTGTTTTTTTTGGCTATTGGTATCAATATCAATGGTGTTATTTTCATTAAAGACATTATAATTACAGTAATGTTATTGACATAAGCCATGGCAATATAAGATAACATAAAATATTTTTGAAAATCAAGGAAAAGGGTAAACAGGTGAGACAAGTAGTACTTATAATTGGCTCATTGGTGACAGTACAAGTGGAGCCATCTATGAGAAAAAACAATTAATAAAGTAAACTCAAAGTGGGAATGACATATACGTACATGCTATGCTTGTCAGTTTAGGGTTAATAAAAGCTGTTCTACTGAAAACTCTAGCAAAAGCTCCTTAAGCTATCTGCTATCACTGATTCTTCTTTTTCCTCACAAAATCACCAAACATATTACTTAAAAAAAAAACAAGAAATATACTTGCAAGTTCTTCTCCTTCTTCTACGAGAAGTGGACCTTAGGTTCTTGCTGTAGGCCTACCTAAAAAAAAGAAAAAAAAGTTTTGAAATTAATGATAGCTTACAGGTTCTTATTTAATCTGCATGTGTGTGTGCTTGCATGTGCATGTGTGTGTGTGTGCACGTGAGTGTGTGTGTTTGTGTGTAGGTGTATTTGTATGTATGTGTGTGTGTGTGTGTGTGTGTGTGTGTGTGTGTGTGTGTGTGTGTGTGTGTGTGTGTGTGTGTGTGTGTGTGTGTGTGTGAGAATGAGTGAGAGTGAAAGTGAGAGTGAGAGTGAGAGTGAGAGTGAGAGTGAAAGTGAGAGTGAGAGTGAGAGTGAGAGTGAAAGTGAGAGTGAGAGTGAGAGTGAGAGTGAGAGTGAGAATGAGAGTGTGAGTGGATCTGGGTGTGGGTGTGGGTGTGGATGTGGATCTGGGTGTGGGTGTGGATGTGGGTCTCTGGGTGGGGGTGTGGGTCTGTGGGTGGAGGTGTGGGGGTGTGTATCTGAGATAATGTCCTTGACCACATTCACACTCCAAAGAAATTAATGTCAGTTAGGAAACAGGTTCAGCTAAGCAAAACTGGAGGTTTCATAAACTTAAACTTAAGTTGTACCTGATTATGGTTTCTTGGACAACTTGGTTTAGATTCATTATTCTGGAATTTTTTAGTAATTTGGACAATATGAGTAATATCAAATAGTTATACTTTGTGTCCTATCTTTACCCGTGTCAATCATATCTAAAAGTGTTCCTTAAGATCTGTATTGAAGTTATAAATTATTGATATAACTCTTTTTTGGACAATCATAACCTACAAGGGCAAATAGGAACTGACAGATTGGGAAACAAGAAGACTGCATTTTATCAATGCCTTTTCTATCACAAACTGAATATGCAACAGTTCTGTAACATCTAAATAACAACCAATCATATCCTCTGCTGTTTTAACTTGCACATCAAAACACATGTCATTTCACTCAAGCTATACCATACATGTCCATGATCCATAGGCCTATGTCACTCATGAGATTATCTCTTAAAAAATAGAGACCCTTGTATATGGAACCAATCTAACACTTTCTTGTTGTAATATACATCAAGGCTTTTTGTTGTTACTATTTGATGTGTTATTCATATTACATGTATGCTCTGTTTGCAATTGGTGACTGATGTAACGCAGCAGGAAAAGTATTTGAATTATCTGACTAATAATTCCTATTTATCTTATGTCTGTCTTACACTATCATTCTACCCATCTTTATTCAAACAAAATTTAATCAAAGTCAACATACAGAGACTCCTATCAATTAATAAACTCTGATCTTTTTCGACTTGACGGGTTTTTAACACCAAATAATACATACTTTTAGGACCAATTTTCGTTGTTAAAAACTAACCGGCATTACCTACGAGATGACAGTCTTCAATTACATATGCTATGCCAGTGTAATTACCTAATTAATCTGTTATCAGCTTGTTTCTCTCTTCCCTTTAATCTATGCAACAGTAACACTAAAAATAAACAGAAGACCTTTCATTCTGATACAAGTTGGAGACAAGATTGCGGGAATTTCGAAAAGTGGTTCTTATTTTCCCTTATTATTGCTCGTTTCGGCATGAAATCAACTTGTTTTCCCCCTAAGTTGAGTCTTCTCATTATCATTTTCGTGACATCATCTCTCTCAATGGACAATCAAGACAATAAAGTGCTTAAAATAGCCAGAAAAGCAAAATAATAGAGATTTTACCAGTTGTTCCCCAGTGTCTCATCTCCGAATCATCCAATGTCAACAAAAGAGGAGACGGGCTTAAAATATTTTTAGTCGTAAAGCATATTCGGAAAATTATCAAACAATTACTGCTATGTTAATTGTAAAGAAACTATAGATGCTTTGGATGTATTAGTAGCTATTGAAGAGTTGATAATTTTGATGCATTTTATGTGCATTATGAACATACACTTATATATGTGTGTGTGTGTGTGTGTGTGTGTGTGTGTGTGTGCGTGTGTATATATATACATATATATATATACATATATATATATATATATATATATATATATTTATTTATTTATTTATTTATTTATTTATTTATAATGTGTATGTGAAAATCTTGTGATTTGATTAACCTTATTAACATAAAAAAATGTAATTACAATTAAACCATACGATTTTTATTTTTTCACAATTTCAACACGGAAAAGTATTAGTTGATACTCAGTTATCTTTTATTAGATATTGGTAAAGATTTCAGTGATGAAGAAATGTTTAGGCGGATACTTAAACACGCCATGGATGTCAAAATCACTCTATCGTGTTGATACTGTGGTAGATAAACACATTGCACAAGCTAGATTTATTGAAACGTATTATTACTACACAAATCTGGAGAGGAAAAAAGAGAGAAAACGATTTTAATTGGTTGAGAGGAGAAGCAACACGTTAAACACAGGGCAGGTGAGGACAGATGAACGGAAGCAAAGGGAGGTCAGGTCAGGTCAGGTCGAAGGGTCAGGCAGCCTATGGATAGGGTCACTGGCACAAGGGAGTAGTCTAAAGATGTAAGAAGCGAGGAGACAGTCAACAGGAGAAAAAACAACAACAACCGATGAGCTTGAAATTAGGCAAAAGTTTTACTAGGAGGATTCCATCAGACGGCGGAGATGGACGTCAGCGGAAGGAAAGGCAATGTGTGTATATGACACGACTTTGCTGGCCGATACAGCTTAAGAAATGCAACCAATGACAGATACAGTAGAAAAGTCTTCTAGATCCACAGGTCTTGTAACCACCACGCCCAAAACAAAAGGTGATCACATCTCCACTTGACCCAAAATGTCAACTTCTTGTAAATCGCGAAGCTGAAGAGAAAAACGAATTTCACATACCTCGGATAACTCATGGCGCCTTCGGGTGATACGGGGGAGATCGATATTAGAATTAGATATTAGATATTAGATTAATTATTATTGATTATTAGATAATTAGATATTAGAATTAGCAAAGCCTTTCAGTTCCTCCGAAATCCTTTGTGAAACTATCGCAGTGCACTCTTCAGGACAAAATTCGAGGTTTATAGTGCCTCGATACGTTCCATCCTGCTATATGCCTGTGAAACTTGGCCTCTTAAGGTTGCAGACACCAGACGTCTTAATGCCTTCGGCCATCGTTATCTGCGGGCTGTC